CGCTCACGCTGACTGCTTGCTACACATGGTAGCCCATGGTAACCCACTGCAGCAGGGGCTGCAGCCTACACCGTCGCCAGCGACTCATGGCAGCCCAGCTCCAGGTTGAGCTGTTGTTCAGCATCTTAGCTGTAGAGGGCAGTGTCACTGGTCCTCATATGTGGAATCCGAACTGGGGCCCTCTGGCGTCCCAAGCCAGCTCTTAACCAACGCGCCGCCCGGCTGGCCCTGGAATTTTTGATTAACAGTATTTTGTTTCAGAATGTTAAAGATGTCACTCCATTGTCTTCTGGCTTGCATGGCTTTTGTATTAGAAGTTTGTTGTTTTTCTCACCTCTGTTCCTTGTTTACAATGTGTCCTTTTTCTCTGTCTGCCATCAGTATTTTCTCTGCATTGCTTATATTCAGCTGTTTGCAATAATGTGTCTAATTTTTTTGTTTTGTTTTTAAATCCTCCTTGGTTATTCTGAGGTTCTTGGATCTGGGTGATGTCCTTTATTATTTTTGGAAAATTCTGAGCCATTATCTCTTCAACTAGTTTTCTTCTTATTCTCTCTCCTCTCCCCCTGGATTTCCAATTATGCATATATTAGACCATAAAGTTTCCCTACAGTTCTTGGAAACTCTCTTGTTTTCTTCAACTTTTTGCATTTTATTTGGATGATTTTGATTGGCCTATATTCGAATTTTCTGACACTTTTCTCAGCTGTGTTGAGCCTACTTGTGACTCCTTTGAAAGCATCCTATGTGATGCTTTCAAATTTTCTTTTTTAGCATTTCCCATTTGATTCTTTATTAATTTCTACTGAAATTCCCCCATCTGTTCATATATACTGCCTGCATTTTCATGAGACCATTTAACACATTAATCAGTCACATAAAATTCTGTTTGATATTTCCAAAATATGTTCATCTCTAAGGTGGTTTTATTGATTAGCCTGCTCTTTCTTTGCAGAAGGTTGTTAATTCTTTAATCTTGTAATTTTTTTTAAAGATTTTATTGGGGAATCGGGGAAGGGGAACAGACAAGTTGCTGTCCTTTTGTTCTTCAGTCTAGTTGTGGAGAATGTCGCTTCACTGGCCAATGTTGGTATTATCATTGCGCTCTTCCCCGGTGAGACAGATTGGTCAATGGCCACTGGATGGCGGCTCAAGGCAGCTCTTGGCAGCTCACGCCGGCTGCCAGCTGCTCACACCGGCTGCCGGCCACTCACGGTAGCTTACAGGAGCCCACTGCAGCTCTACTGCAGCCTACGCCGTGGCCTCATGGCAGCCCAGCTCCAGGTTGAGCTGTTGTACACCATCTTAGCTGCAGTGGGTGCAGCGTCACTGACCCTCATGTGATATCCGAACAGGGCCCTGCTGCTCAGAGGTGGTGTCCCAAGCCAACTCTTAACCAATGTGCCACTCGACTGGCCCAATCTTTTAATTTTTGATTGAATGCCAGAAAACATGTATCAAACAGCAGAGACTGAATAGTTGTTTTTTTTTAACCTGGAACACTTGTTCTGTTAGAAATTTATAATGGGGTGTTGAATTGATCTGGTCAGGAATAGGTTGGAATTGGATTCTGTTGTTTCAATACTTATCTTCAGTACACTTCAAAATTTTCTAGTATTACCTTGTGCTTAGCATGGCGGCTAGAGTACTGGAGGATTTTTCTCAATGTTCTTGCTCCACCCCAGATTTTGGCACCTGTGCCACAGGATTCTCTGTCCATTTTCTTGCTATTTTCCCAGTGTAACCTGCTATTGCCCATCACCAGGAGCAAGTTAGCCTATTTATGGGAACCAGCATTGTTCTTTATTGTCCTGGTTTAGTCTCAGTTTTGAGTGGGGATTTGAGAGGTCAGAGATCTTAAGCATTTTGGGGAGTTAGGACTACATAACACTAAAAATGAGACAGCAGCGCTTTCCCCCTGGCTGTGAACAAAAAAACAGGTGATACTGCCATCTTGTGAGCAATCTGAAGACAAGAGTTCACACAAAAAGACAGATATGAGAGAATTTAAGAAAATCATATAAAGCCCCCTTGACTGATCCAGACCCAACTCTTACTCTGCTGTATCTTTTCATTTATATGAACTGAGAAATATGTTTTATTTAAGCAACTCTAAGTTACATTTTCTGTTACAACTAAAAGCATCCTAACTGATAACAGCACCATGAGCTCTCATGATTTTCTCTTGGAAATGATGATAGCAAAGAAATGCAACAGAAGCCCTGGATTTCTGATGATACTGTGCAACTCAGACTGTGAAACCTAAAGAAATTTCGCAGAAAGATAAAGTTGCTGACACCTAAGGTATCTGTGTCAAAAATCTAGAGAATTTTGAAAATTAACTTCAGGGGATTTGTTAATTTTTGCCATAATGTCATCTAATGAAACAGAACAATCACAGCTTGAGTTCTTAACTCAAGGCATAACATCTCAGTAGTTTATTACTTTGGTAAAATAGGTCAATGTTAATTGTCAATTTTTAAAATGAAGTACAGAAAAGGCTAAGTCAAAATTCTGCTTGCCAAAAAAACCACATGGTGGTTGGTGAGTAATCTTCCATACATAATCTATTAAGTATGTATTTGAACACGTTATGTATACAGACTTAAATTCACTGGATACTATGAAGGTACAATCCACATTTTCACTAAACACTATGCATGATCCTTTCCTGTAATTTTAGATCAATTCCATACTTTCTGGAGTTCCATACTATAGAAACATAAGAGAAATTTACCCAAAGTCCTATTTATTTCCAGTTTAAAAAAATTACTCTCATCCTTTCTAGTTTATCATAAATTATTACTCTATGATTTCCAGATGGGTATCATATTTTACATTTTGACATACATTTTATGACTCTTCTTTAACAAGCTTGTATTTTTTACACCCATCAACAAAATACATTGTTCTTGAAGATAGACTACCAAGCTAAAGGCAATCCTATCCTCATAATCAATGTTTTATAAAATATTTAGAAAAATTCACAATTTTTCCTTTCCTTGTGTGAGTGGGAGAAGTATGGGGATGGAGAACTTGACAAAATTCAAGTCCTCCAGACTTGTCACAGGTCCTGCCTAAGGAGGTTTGAACTGGACAAAGGTTATAACTCTTAGAAATCAGTTAGAATAAAAGGACTTTGGTGGAAACATAGAGACAAAAAAACCAAGTATTTTAATTTTGACATTTATTAAGAAAGTATTTTTCATTAGTAACCATTTCTGACAATTTCCAAATATTACAGTAAAGTTCTGCCTTAACACACAGAGCAGGAGTAAAAAATAATTATGTAAAATGCAGTGTTCCATTTTTGCAAAGGTTAACCAGAAACATTGTTTATCAGTTTGCACTGTCATTTCAAGTGTGTGCAGATGCACGCACACACACACACACACATACGCACACACACACACACACACACAATCTAAACTTAAACTGATGGTATACAGAAAGAGACCAAATAGTAAGAAATTCAGTTCATCCTGCTTAAGATGAGACAAAAGATAGAAACCAATCCCAACAAGGTTACAACCAAATTCATGTAATTTCAGATTGCAATACTGCTTGATATTCTATATTTCAAATATTTATCTACTTGAAGTGATTATATTAAGGTTACTTGCAGGATTCCTCTTCCAAATACATTTTTAATGTTTTTTTGGGGGGGAGTGGAGATGAGCTTAACACAATTTCAAACATGATACCTTTACACACTTACAGTCACTTAGCAAAAAGTACTGAGCACCTACATTGAGTTATGCAATGTCATGGATTTATAAACTTATGAATGAAGCTAAGGACCTGAATTTAGGCATGCCCATCACTGTACTTTAAATTTCTGACCATACTCTTATCTTTTCATAAGCCCTAGTCCAACTAGTTAAAGTCATGTGCAATGATTGATGTTACAGTTCTGACAAAATCCTTTATGGAATGCCTCTCGTTAGATGTCTCTGCTGTGTGGTTTCCTGACTACTGTAATGTTGAGGTTGGGTAGAAATATTATTTTCCTTGAAGAAATTCTTTTTCTACTATAAGAACTCTAGTGAATGGAAAAATTCAGCTCCCATTTGAGGACTTCAAAACAAAACAAAACGGGAACACCATTTTACAGAACTTCATTTCTGTATGGATTCTCTGATGAAAGATAGTCCTTACCATATTCATTTTTATAGAATTTATCACCACTGTGGACTCTCTGATGAATTAGAAGACCTGAGCTCCAACGGAAACCCTTACCACACGCATCACATTTGTACGGTTTCTCTCCTGTGTGGACTCTCTGATGAGCCTGAAGGTTTGATCTCTGACTGAAGCCCTTTCCACACACCTCACATTTATATGGTTTTTCCCCAGTGTGGACTCTGTGATGGGCCTGGAGACTTGAAAACCCACTGAAGCCCTTACCACACTGTTCGCATTTATAGGGCCTCCCTTCTGTGTGGACCCGCTGATGAGCTTGAAGGCGTGAACTCTCACTGAAGCCTTTTGTGCACACCTCACATTTGTATGGTTTCCCTCCTGTGTGGACCCTCCGATGTGCTTCAAGGCGTGAACTCTGACTAAAGCCCTTCCCACACATCTCACATTTATATGGTTTCACTCTAGTGTGGACCCTCTGATGACCTTGAAGATATGCTCTCTGACTGAAGCCCTTCCCACATACCTCACATATGTATGGTCTCTCTCCAGTGTGGACACTCTGATGGCTTTGAAGGTATGATCTCTGACTGAAGCTCTTACCGCATTCATCACATTGGTATGGCTTCTCTCCCGTGTGAACTCTCTGATGGGCCAGAAGAGTTGAGGCCTTACTGAAGCCCTTACCACATTCTCCACATTTATAGGGTTTCTCTCCTGTGTGAACCCTCTGATGAATTTGAAGATTAAAGCTCCAACTGAAGCCTTTCCCACACTCCTCACATTTGAAGGGTTTTTCTCCAGTGTGAACTCTCTGATGGCCTTGAAGGTGTGAACTCCGACTGAAGCCCTTCCCACACTCCTCACACTTGTATGGTTTCTCTCCAGTGTGAACTCTCTGATGGCCCTGGAGGTATGAATTGCGACTGAATCCCTTTCCGCACTCCTCACATTTGTACGGTTTTTCCCCAGTGTGAACTCTCTGATGAGCTTGAAGGTATGAACTCCGACTGAATCCCTTATCACACTCCTCACATTTGTACGGTTTCTCTCCCGTGTGCACTCTCTGATGGACATTAAGAACTGATCTATGACTGAAGCCTTTACCACAAGTATTGCATTTGTATGGCTTCTCTCCACTGTGGACTCTCTGATGATCTTTAAGTTTTGAACTCCAATTGAAGCCATTCCCACATTCCTTATAAGGTTTCTCTCCAATGCAAATTTTCTGATGGCCTTGAAGATATGAATTTTGGCTGAAGCTGTTCCCACATATGTGTTTATATGGTTGTTCCCTAGTGTGAACTATCTGAAGGTTCTGAAAATGTGAGGCCAGACTGAAGCCATTACCACCGTCCTCAGAATTACAGGGAATCTCTCCCATGTGAACTCGACGCTGAACGTTAAGATTTGAGCTACAAATGAAACCCTTCTCACATTCCACATCTGTGTATAGTTTCTCTTCTGCGTAGATTTCCTGATGGACTTGAAGACAAGAACTCGGATTAAAGACATTCCCATTCTCCTCATATTCATGGGGTTCTTCCCCAGTACGAACCCTAAAAATACTATTAAGATCTAAGCTATGACTGAAGGCTTTCTCATAAATGCTGCATCTATAGGGCATCTCTCCTGTGTGAATAAGTTCGTAAGTGTTGAGAGAGGAGCACTGATTCAAGTTCTCACCATGCTCACATTTACATGGCTTCTTCTCTGTACGTACTCTCTGATGAGACTGCAGATGTGAACTCTCCAAAACACAATCATCTCCTTCATGAACACTTTGATGAATATGGAGGATTGAACTATAACTACAGCCCTTTCCACGTGGACTGTATGTACAGGGCTCCGCTTCTAAATGTAACTGCTGATGAACTTCAGAGCTCAAGTCATTACTGAAGGCTTTTCTGGACTCAATACAGGGGTAGGGCTTTTGTCCTCTTTGAATTAAGTCTTCATTAAGCAACGAAACCTTCAGGATGTCTTCTCCACAGTCATGGCAGCTATAGTTTTTTTCTGTTCTGCATACTCCCAGATTATCATTGTGATGTGAAATCCAGCTGATGCTGTCACACTTACAGAAATTATTTTTCAAGGAAATTTGCTGACATCTGCACTGATGATTATGTGACTCTCTCAGGTACATTTTCCTCCATGAATTCTGGACTCGCCAAGATGAAAATTCTTGATTTTTTTTGTGAGTGGAACCATCCCCTGTATGACTCAATATATAGTTCCCATCTTCAGAAATCTGAATTGGTATTCCTGTCCAAACCTGGCAGGGGGAATCACCTTGTTTTTGCAGCTTAGAAATAATATCCCCTTGAAATTTTTTCATGGAATCTTGACACCTGGTTAACCTGCCTGCATCTTGTTGCCAGGTCTGCCAGGAGGAAAGCTCTTTGGGGGAAAGGTAGCTTAATCCCACTTCTTGAGTACTCTCCATATTATGTTGATTCTTGGTTCCTATAAGGATAGAGAGAATTTAGACATGTGCACAAGTGAATGCTTTTATTCAGAGATTTCAAGATTTTGCACTCAGGTCATGACATGGAACGTCAATGAACTAGAGGAAAATTCATATTACTACCTCTAAGAGTACTTAGAAATAGCTCTTCTTTGGCTACATCAGGAATATATGTAGAATCCATATAATTCAGGATATCTATAATGCTGCAAAATCAGGGCTTTGCAACAACTGGGACAGCAAACATAGTGGCCCCGTTCAAAAGGCCTAGTAAAACCACACACGTATCATGGGTTTATCATACGTTGCCTGGTGATTGCAAGGAGAAAATAGAAGGGGGTAGTCTCAAATTGGAAAGAATATAGTTTCAAGTGGACAAATGCTTTTTGTTCTGATAACTTTGTCTTTTTCCTCTGGCACATGGGCATGATAATGTTTTTGTTTGTAAAGAGACTGTGTGTTAAATGCTGTGCAGATGAAGGTACACACAGACTTTTAATTGATGCTTGAGGCATCACATGTTCTATCTTTAATGAGCTATTTATCTTCATGAGAATAATAAGCTCGTCTAAGTCACTGTAAGCCGTTATCAGTTTTAACTCCTTTCACAATTACCAAGGGCCATGGTACAGGTCAGAATGTGAAACACTGTGACAGAACTCAATTCCAAATACATCAAAAAAAAAAAAAAAAGGAGGCTGAGGGAGGGAAGCAGAGCCAAGTTTCATGGCACCTGTAGGTGTCCTTTGAGGCAACTCATCAAACAAACAAAACTCAATGAACACAGACTTTGGTTTGAATTATTTTACAGAAAAATTACTTTAATGTTTATGCAATTTGAGGCACCAGAAGAATTGAAGACACACGTTTGGTGGAAATGGCTCGTCACTAGTTATTAAAACTCAGATTATAAGCAGACAGCAGATCTCCATAACCTGGTGAGGAGTATCCTCCTTGAGGATAACTGGTTGAAGTAATAACATGTGCTCTTCTAACACTTGGCAGTACTATACTTTCTGTATAGCATCCAGAAAGGAAAGCAGTACAAGAGGAATTTTTTCAGTAATATATTATCTTCAAATATAATCAGTCTTCTTTATCTGTGTGTCTGTCTCTCCACATTGGAATGCACTCTCCAAAAGGACAGGCACTTTGTTTTGTGCACTGCCTTACCCTCACTGCCTACAACCCTCATAGCAAATAGTAGTTGCTCAATAAACATAGATCATAGTCATTCTCACTCACAGTACTAAACGGGAATGTTTACGCAAGTTATTTTTTCATGGGAAAGGAATTGGTGATGGCACTTTTGCTGCAAAGTTCAAAGGCTATATGGGTCAGGATACACTCAAGGTCTCTATCACCTGTTGATGAGAAAAGCAAAGGTCCCAGGAATTGCTTGTGGATTGAATCTTAAATTTTAAAATATCCTTTAAATTGGTGTGTTTTTTCTTGTACAAAATCTTACCTGTAGTCCCATCTTAGCCCCAACTTAAAAAAAAAAGTAAAAAATAGGAGACTTGGGATAAGCCCTGGGAACAGGTCTTGGAAACCCTTTTCACAAACATGGTGCCAAAAGTGAAGAAGAAAGGCCCTGCCCCTCCCAAAACCAAAGCCAAAGCCAAAGCCAAAGTAAAGCCTTTGAAGGTAAAGAAAGCAGTGCTGAGTGGTGTCCACAGCCACACAAGAAAAGATCTGCATGTCACCCACCTTCCAAAAGCCCAAGACACCTGCGGCTGACGGTAGCCCAAATATCCTTGGAAGAGCACCCCCAGGAGAAACAAGCTTGACCACTGTGCCATCAGCAAGTTCCCCCTAACTACCAAGTCAGCCATGAAGAAGACAGAAGACAACAATATACTTGTGTTCACTGTGGATGTCAAGGCCAACATGCACCAGATCTAACAGGCTGTGAAGAAGCTCTATAACATTGACGTAGCCAAGGTCAACATCCTGGTCAAGCCTGATGGAGAGAAGAAGGCATATGCCTGATTGGCTCCTATGGTACTTTGGATGTTGCTAACAAAATTGGGATATTCTAAACTGAGTCCAGCTGGCTAATTCCAAATAGAACATGTTTTCACTGTAAAAAAAAAAAAAAGAAGTAAAAAATAAAAAGTCACACTGATGATTGTGTGACACTACAATGTGGGGCAATGCATTGATTGCAGGGTAACACTCTGACATATCCACAAGTACTCAGCTCAGTACTCTAAAGAAATGTTTAATGATGTCTCTGGCTTCTCAAAAGCAAATCTTTCAGTTATTACGTTAATATTTTATCACCTAAAGATGAAATGAAGGGGCATACTATAGGAGGCATGTCAGATACAGTGAATAGCTTATATGTGAGAAGTTTGAACTTTCAGCTAGAGTTAATCATAATGCTTATAGTTCTCTTTTGGTATCATCAAAAAACACTTGATATTCATCCATAAAGATACAGTTTAACATGGTGGCTTGAGCACATGAAAGGAGCTTACTAGTCAAAACCCAATTTCTTCCAAAGCAATTGTTTGAATATAAATTTGTACCGAATTTATGATGTAAGAATCTCTCAAATATATAGCAGAAATTAAAGTTTCTTTCTGACCAGTGGTTTTAACATTAAAGGAATAGAGGAAGGAAAAAAGGTCCCCTTTTACTTAGTTTTAGCCTCTTATGGAAAAGATCACACATTTAACAACATTAACTTTAATTTCCTTTACTCAATGGTACATAATGAAACAATTTACCTGTCATTTCCTTTCCATATCTCAACATTTAAGTTCTGTTTTAATATCAACAGTAGTGCTGATGAGAAATTGTGTCAAGTCAAATTTATAACTTTATTTGATAGAGAAAATAAGCACTGCAAAAAGCACCGAAAGACTTCACTTGAAGTACCAAGAACTTACTTCTTCTTAATAATCCTGCTTTAGAATTTAAGAAAATCAATCATGGGGCTGGCCGAGTGGCTCAGTTGGTTAAGAGTTGGCTTAAGAGCACGAGCTCTGAGCAACAGGGCCGCCGGTTGGATTCCCACATGGGCCAGTGACGCTGCACCCGAGCTGAGCTGTTGCTGAGCTGCCAACAGGTGGAAGGATGGCTCAGCTGGTGTAACAACAAGATTGCCTGTTCGATGGTAGGCTACTCCCACCTGCAACTAAGACTGAACTTGGCACCTTGAGCTGAGCTGCTGCCCAGATGGCTCAGAGGATACAGCATGCACTCTTAACAACAAGGCTGCGGGTTTGACTCCCGCATGGGATGATGGCTATGCCCACCCGCAACTAAGATTGAACACAGCTTAGAGACCATGAGCTGACGAGGGGCAGCCAGATGGTGACTGGCGCCCCCCACAACGAAGATTGAAGAACAACTTGGCTGGTCCTCTTCCCCAACTCCCCAACACTGTTCTCCTCCCCCAATTCCCCAATAAAATCTTTAAAAAAAAAGAAAATCAATCATTCCAGCAGCCTATATCAATTCACTCAGTAACAAAGAGTTGTTTATCATAAGTACCAAATCACTCCTTTAAATTTAATAGTTAACCATAATGAATTAAGAGAAAAAAAATCTGTTTATATTTTCCTTCTCCTTTAATAGACAATACTCAAGAATATCAACTCAAGCAACCCAGACTGATATTACCCTGCATTCTTACTATGCTTTTAGATAGTAAGAGAAACCAAGGCTTTTTCTGAACAGAAGATACAATAACAACATTTTGATTACAGACTAATACTTAAGCTGCTGTGCAGGCCATTCTCTTAAGCATGCCTGAGGCTTACCTCTCTTTACCAGATTATATTTAGTCTGTTTCTACTTCTTTTCCTCACAACTGAATGAGTTCTGTCTTTCAGTTTTGGAAGGTTATTAATTATTGATTCAATTTCTTTAACAGATATAGGCATATTCGCAATGTCCATTTCTTCTTGTGTGAGTTTTAGCAAATTGTGTTTTACATGGAACTAGTCCATTTCACCTAGGTTATTAAATTTGTGGCCACAGAGTTTGTTCATAGTATTTTTTTATTATCCTTTCAATGCCCATAGATTCTGTAGTCATGTCCCCTCTTTGATTTCTGATATTAGTCATTTGTGTGTTCTCTCTCTCGCTCTCTCTTTTAGTTAGCCTGGCAGAAGCTGATCAATTTTATTCATCTTTTCAAAGAACCACCTTTTGGTTTCACTGATTTTCTCTATCAATTTCCTAGTTTCAATTTCATTGATTCTGCTCCAATTCTTATTCTTCTGCTTACTTTGGATTTAATCTGATCTTCTTTTTCTAGTTTCCTAAAGTAGAAGCTTAGATGATTGATTTTATATCTTCTTTTCTAATATATGCATTGAATGCTATGAATTTTCCTCTAGGTACTGCTTTTGCTGCATCCCATACATTTTGATAAGTTGCATTTTCATTTGTTCAAATTACTTTTTAATTTCTCTTGAAATTTCTTCTTTGACCCATGTGTTATTTAGAAGTATGTTGTTTAATCTCCATCTATTTTGGTATTTTCCAGTTATTTAATTTATTGATTTCTAGTTTAATTCCATTGTGGTCTAAGAGCAGACTTTTATGATTTTTATTTTCTTAAATTTGTTAAGGTGTGTTTTATGGCGCAGAATGTGGACTATCTTGGTGACCATTTCATGTGAGCTTGAGAAAAGGGTTATCTTTCAAATCATCTACATTAACAATGGCTCCAACATCCAACTCCATGTCACAAAGCTATCATTTTAAAATTAGTTTTAATTCAGTCCACAGGAAAAATATATAACGTTACAAAAACAAGAACAAGATTATGTGGGGTGGGGGCAGAGGGAGTGAAATGTAGAAAGCAAAGAATACTCTTTGTATTACAACATAAAATTGGCCAGCCTATCACACCCTGAGATCAGATGTCAGAACCACTTACTAATGATCAGAAAATCATCTAAACATTATAAGAAAAAAATGATTAAATATATATGTAATTTTAAAAAACAGATTTGCCATATTTTATGAGCAACATGCCATTTTTAGTCATATGTTCTTTACGTCTGCAGTTAGTTAATGAAAATGTAGTAAGCCTATTAAAAAGGAAGTTTTGGCAAGGAATCATAATGCTAGATCAACATCTGACCGGCACATGTAAGACATCACAAAATATCCATAAAAGTTTGTGTTAATACTTAAGGTTTAGTTAAGGTTAAGTTAACATATTAACTTTATTATATTAACTATAAGTTAACTTTATTATTACAGCTACTATTAACAGTGATGCTTGATATTCCAATTGAGCCATAAAGAATTATCAAAGAAACAGCTGAGAACAGTTGTCTGAGACCTATTGACAGGAACGGGAAATTTTTTGGTTTAGTGCCAGGTAACTTTACCCTAAAGGAAGCAGAATTAGAAAGGAGGAATGCTTAGGGACTGTCTCTTAGGAAAACATCTATTTCTCAGCTGCTCCTCCTTTTTCACTGTGGGGAGTAACATTCAACTTGGGACAGAGAAGACCAGAGTAGAAGAAACCGTATCTGTGAGAGACTGTTTAAAAATAATGCTGGAAAAAATCTGACTCACCAGTAGACTCATGGCATTAAAAAGCTGGATTGGTGCTAAGAAGCTAGAGGAGCTTCAATACTGAAAGAGCTTAATATACGTTCTGGAAATATTTTCATCTTAATTGAAGGGGAATTTCCTTTCTGAGTTTCCTAAAGGTGCCCAAATGGTGCTACCACTCTCAGAGGCCCTCAAGACACTGGAAGAGTCATTAGAATCAGATGAACTGTGCCACTTTAAAGGGGATGACTGTGTGTGTGTGTGTGTATGTGTGTGTGTGTGTGTGTGTGTGTGTGTACGTATGTGCACACACTCGTGCCCAAGTTGTTCCTGGTGAGTGTGCAGCTGTTTCTCTCCAGAGGTTAAGAAATGTAAAAATCTTACGACAAGCCTCCTGTTGGATCTGAAGCCTCAAGTCATGACTTTGCCATCTGCCTTGGAGTTTGTGATTCTGTCCCCAGACTTTCGAAAAGCCTAGACAGTAGATAGGAATATAAATTGGGGAGGATTGAGATCTGTTTAGCCACAAGGATTTGCTAACAGGAACATGAAAGGATTTGCTAACAGGAACATGAGAAGGAGCACCCCTTTTTGTGGATTGGGTGTGCCATACTGCCAAAGCTCACACTGTGTGCTCAATGAGGCAGAGGGTTACTGCTTTCTAGTGTCTTTCCACGGAGGAAATAACAATGGCCAAATACTTTCCCGAAAAATTTCATGAGTTCAGATCTAGCTGGAACCAGCAAATTACGAAAGGGAAGTAGAAGAAACAGCAAGATAATTTGTATCTTATTACTTGAAAGCTAGAGATTACTACAAGTAAGGATCTCCTAGTTAATGAGGTGGATGGTTTTGGTATAATTAGAGATGCCTTTGGAAAATAAAAACAGAAATGATTTGCTATGGGGAAAAAAGACAAGTCCAGAAGCCCTTGGTCTGTAGACCAATGATGTTTTCACCAGTGTAGAGACGCCTGCCTGGCCCTATGGACCAAAAACTTCTCCTTCCACCCCTATTGGGAGTCTGTGATTGCATCGGCAGTGACCAGCAGTGTTAAGGTGTAGTGCTGGTAAAGGACCTTCTTTCAGGCCCCTGGAGACCATGATGCCTCATCTTAGCAACAGTTGCAGGTGGCTCTATAACCTGCTGACTCTGCACCTCTGACAGAATTAACCAGGCAATGCCACGAAAACAGATTTTGTTTGCTTATGCCGATTGATGAGTTGACTTTATGTAGACGTGGATGACAAACCACCTGTTTTACTGTAAGTAAAATTATTTTTCTCATCACTTTCCAAGTAGAAGACAAAATTTTAATGGCTGGCATTAATGAAAAATGCACTTTTGAAAACAGATATGGGATATTATTGGATATTTGGAACATATGGCCTATAACAGCATGGGAAAACCAATGATAGGAAACTATTAATGAAGCTTGAAATCAATATAGTACATTGTGACATGCAATTAAAAAAACAGACAGAAAATATCAGTATCAGAGGTACACTGCATGTGAGGGCTATCGCTGCATGAAATGTTTGTTTCAGATGTGCAGGTGTGTACACTACATAGATCTGTACTGGGTTACAATACATACTGAAGGTCATGGCCAAGAACACCACTGGTGTAAATAGTTAAGGAAAGTATAAAACTCATAATTAAACAATTGCAAGTCAAAATGCAAAGTTCAAATGTGGAAACTTAGAAAAATATCAGTAGGTAGGTTTGTACCTCTTAGTTTCATGCCTACATGAATAGAAGGTTCAAAACATAAGAAACAAATAAGCACTTGAAAAAAGAGTGCTACTCTTTACAAGTCATGTTTCTTTCACCTTGAATCTTCCTTGCCTGCCACGGGAAAAGGGAGCCTGATGTGGATGCCAACTCCCAAAGAGATGGACGGGCTACAACTAGGAAAACATTACAAGGAAATAGATAGTTTAGAAGTTATTACGTGTTGACATCTTTTTCTTTGCTAGAGTGAATGGAAATGGAGATGTTTCTTCTATAGGGGACTAGCCAAGAGAGTAGTTGTAAGAATTCTCATTTTAAAAATGTTTTTTGGGGCCGGCAGAGCGGCGCATTGGTTAATAGCTGGCTTGGGACACCAGAGGGCCCCGGTTCGGATCCCACATGTGAGGGCCAGTGACACTGCCCTCTACAGCTAAGATGCTGAACAACAGCTCAACCTGGATCTGGGCTGCCTAGGCTGCAGTGGGTTGTCATGGGCTACCGTGTGTAGCCAACGGCCAGCAGCCGCAGTGAGCGGCCATCCATAAGCCGGCGACTGATCTGCCTCGCCCGGGAAAAGCACAATGATGGTGCCAACTTGGGCCAGTGAAGCAACGTCCTCCACAACTAGACTGAAGAACAAAAGGACAGCATCTTGTCTGTTTCCCTTACCCCAATTCCCCAATAAAAATCTTTAAAAAAAAAACCACAAAGTTTTTGATTTTTTTTTTGCCCAAGTCAATTAAGTTAGCTCCCAGAGGCTACAGGAAAGCCAGTGGGAGATAATTATGTCTCTTTTGGTCTCCAAAGATAAAGCTCAGCAAGGGATGGTTTTTTTCTATGAATCTGATTCACCAAGTAATTTATTCCATAGAAATAAAATCATTAGTACCCTAGGATGCTTGGACTGGGGTTTTTATTGCTGTACTTTCTGTATTTGTTTTTTTTAAAAAAAGAAAAGAAATACACTAATGCTCATCAATTGCAAATGGAAAAGGGCTGAAAGATGCATGTTAGAGCCACAGATTGGACTATTATGCAGCCATGACAAAAAATAAACGAGTTACAATCTTAGGCAGGGATGAATTTCTCCACGGTATCATGAAAGAGAAAAATTAGTATCTTAAAAATAAGAATATATATTATCAAATTTCTGCATTACTATTAGGTATAAAAATATCACTATATGTAAAACATTAAATAAGATATTTTAAAATGTGATATTATGTTTCTACTGATACTATCAGGCAGGGGGGACTGGCACACTATGTCCTTAGGTCTGTTTTTATATAGCCCAGCAGCTAAGAATAGTTCTTTAGTTTTTTAAATGGTGCAAGGAAAAAAAAGAAAAATATGTGACAGACACCCTACGTGGCTGGTAAAGCCTCAGATATTTACTATCTGGATCTTAGAGAAAAAGTTTGCTGACCCCGTTCTATTGCATCATGTATGACCATGAACCTTAACTGAGATGGCAACAAAAAATTATAGAAGTGAAGTAATTTGCTTAGAAACACTCTAATGAGTCTTTTTCCTACCCAGGAGTATCCTTAGCTACGGTTGATATGGTGGCTTTTGATGTTAGAGTCTTGAGAACTAAAGAAACATTACCAGAATGTTTGGGTTCACATAAATGTCCAACTTGAAAATCCTACTTCGAAACTGTAGCTAGGTCAAGAGACTAGGTGTCAGAGGATGGGAGGGTGAGAGGAGAGGACAGAATGGCAAGATAAAGAGCTGGGCGTGTGAATGAGGAAGCTATCACCAATGCTATCAAGTGAGAAGTGTCTCACTTGAAATTGCTGCATGAAGAGGGTCAATTACAAGGTTGGCACTGAACATTTTTGATACCTATTCTCATTGATTAGTGATTCTCAATCGTTTAGGAATAATGGCGACCTGTCTATGAATACTCAAGGACACCTCAACAATGAGAATTAGGACAGGCATGCACCGGATGACAAACAACATTCTGGAGTATCCTTCGATGACACTGATTTATTCTGTATCTACTAGCTATGTCAAGGAGCACAGGTGCCAGTGAAGACCATGCATGTGTTAACCAATTCATTCGTTCAAGGCAGAGAGAAAAGCAAGTCAAGGAACCTGAAGCAGAGAAGCATAACTGCAGGTCTGATGGGCAGTAATGGGGACGTGCAGCTGGGACAGAGTGAATGAGCAAACATGAACAGTAGGAGGGGAATATGGTAAGCACAAGGGGCTGTGAGGACAGACACCTTAGGGCCTAATAGGCCAAAGTGGGAAGGCACTGGAGGTTTTCAACAGAGAAGTGACATGTTCTGACGCGTGTCTGAGGAGGGGCTCTGTGGCTGCTGGGTTTGCTGGACAGTTCTCACCTGAACACCCATCTCTCTGGGTTTCTGTCTCCGTCATCAAAACCTTTTGTTCTCTCTCCAGCTGGGATATAAGGTCTGGTTTGAAGGGCTGATTCCCTGTGAAAAAGCAAGGAGAGCAAAAGTTTTAAATTTTTCAATAAGTCCAATTTATCTTTTTTTTTTCCCTTTCTGAATTATGCTTTTGGTGTCCTATCTAAGAACTCTTTGCCTAACCCAAGTTCATGAAGATTTTCTTCTATGTTTCCTTCCAGAAGTTGTAGACTTATAGATTTATATTAAGTCTCCTATCCATTTTAAGTTAATTTTTTTGGGAGGTGTGAGGCATCCATATAGATGTACAGAGATGTCCACACCAGCTGCTGAAAAGACTAAACCTTCTCCATTGAATTGCCGTGGCACCTGTAATATATCTAAAATAGTTTCAGAGTTGCTTCTTCCATATATCACTATGATAAACGAACCCACTGGAAAGCGTTCAAGATATTGCAATTCATTCTCCCACCCCCTCCCACTATACCTAAAACTAAGGATTTACAGTTTTATATTGTGTTCCTGAGCTACTTCCATGAGTTCTTTCTTTTCTCTCTTCAGTGTGGTTATGGTATTAATTTCAAATACAACCAAGTTCATTTGTGTCATTTTCTTTTAGTTTTAGATTATTATCCCTTTGGGTTCTGATTTAATTTTTATAATATGTGGAAGACCAGCCAAGTGGTTCAGTTGGTTGAGTTAGCTTAAGAGCGTGAGCTCTGAGCAACAGGGCCACTGGTTCGATTCCCACATGGGCCAGTGACGCTGTGCCCGAGCTGAGATGTCACTGAGCTGCCAACAGGTGGCAGGATGGCTCAGCTGATGAGAGCACGTGCTCCTAACAACAAGACTGCTTTTTGGATGGTGGGCTATGCCCGCCTGCAACTAAGACTGAACTTGGCACCTTGAGCTGAGCTGCTGCCCGGATGGCTCAGTGGATAGAGCATGCACTCTTAACAAGGCTGCTGGTTCAACTCCCGCATGGGATGGTGGCTACACCCACCCGCAGCTAAGATTGTAACACAGCACCTTGAGCTTAGAAGCCACGAGCTGCCGATGGGAAGCCAGATGGCGACTGGCCCCCTCCACAACGAAGACTGAAGAACAACTTGGCTGGTCCCCTTCCCCAATTGTCCCACACTGTTCCCCTCCCCCAATTCCCCTATTAAAAAAAATAAATGAATAATAATTTTTATAATATGTTGAACTAACATATTTTCAAAAGTCCAAACTAGACCAAGAGGCATAGACAGGTGTGACTCTCTCCCACATTCCTTCCACAGTTGCCTCCGTCCACTGTAAGAAACTAACTTGGTGATTTTCTGATTAATCCTTCTTGTGTTTCCTCTTACACAGATAAGCAGAGATGTATATACTTGCTTATTTCTCCTTCTTTCTTACAGAAATTGTAGTATGCTATGAATGCTCTTTGCACTTTGGTACCTTTAGGGAAAATTCCTAGAAGTGAATTTCTGGGAAAGGATAAATATACAATCTTGTTGGACATTGTCAAATTCCCCTCCTTAAGGGTTGTATCATTTTGCAATCCTACTTTCAATGTATGACTGCTTCATTTCCCACAGCTTTGCCCCAAAGAGTATTCTATTAAGTTTTAAAATTTTTGCCAATCTCTTGGGTTTCGAGAAATGGTATGTCAGTGTAATTTTAATTAACATCTCTCTTATTTTGAATGAAACTGAATATCTATTCATATGTATATATTTACATGTCTTTGTGTATGTGTATGTATACGAATACGAATACGTGTGCCACACACACACACACACACACACACACACACACACACACACACCCCTACCTCCTAGCTCTACCTGAGACCAAGAAACAAAAACGCTGGCAATGACAATACCTAACATACAGATTTGGGTGTTAAATAGCATTCTCCAATAAATAAAAGGATGGTTCCAGAACTGGGGCAAAGTAAAAGATGAGCATAAAGTAAGGAAGTGTTAAAAAAAAATGGTGGAGCATATTACAAGGGCACAGGAGTCCGCTTAAAAGGGCCAAATTTGGGACAATTTTAGCACCCAAATAGTTACAGCAATAAATTATAAGCCATTTTAAAAAGAATTCATAAGCCCCTACAAATAACAATCAAAAGGCTGAAAGGCAGGAGGCGGGGGGG